ATTGTGCGAGAATTCAACTACCAGTCCTTCATCACCTCAAACGGAATAGGGTGAAAACAACTTATATATCCGATTGACTGATAGTCACGATAACCTATTCACTCGCGAACAAAGTTTCGCAGTGTTGCCTGCTTCCGAAAAGGTAGCACCCTCCAGAAGCTGAGTGTGCTACGGGTATATATATATATATATATATGTGTGTGTGTGTGTGTGTGTGTGAGGAGGCATGTATGTTCGTCAGCCATTACTAGCTGGAGGGCCACGTTTACTAACTGCAAGGCCCAGAGCAACTAGGCCCTTAGGAAGCAGTAGCGAAATGCGATCCAGACGGTTGCATCACTCAGTCTGATGGCATGTTTGTCTACCAATCACGAGAGCCGGTCGCGAGGACATGCCTCATCGCCTGGCTGCCTCTATCCAGCCTCCACCTTCCATACAGCCATCCGGACAATCCAGAGGTTGCAAAGCCGAGTTCACACGAAATAGGACCTGCCCACTTGCCAACTCCTCGACTTACTCAACACAATAACCTCAGATCTGAAGTCAGATAGGAGGCTAGTCGGGGGCTGAAATCGCAACCTTTGAATAACTTTCATTTCGTGTGAAAGTTGCCCAGTTCGATCTCGCCAAGAAACAATAGCCGATTTCCATGTGAATGCCGTCATTTTCCACTTTGTTACTACTTTCAGGTTCACGCAGTCCACGGGATATACACCCTCATTTCAAGAAAAAACGGACCTTTTCATAGCTCGCTCTCATTCCTAAAGGCACTTTAAGTCAAGAAAACGACGAGGTTCCAGCTTGACATAACTAAAACTATCTAGTATGTGTATATATATATATAAATTAAATCATGTATGCATGTATGTGTCTTTATGTCTGTGGCTGTGTGTCAGACCACAGGAATATCAAACATGTTTGTCGTAAGGCCACGGGAGACCAGTAGACCTCGGAGGCTGCGAATGCATGGCATAAGATGTGGCCAAGTCGGAGGGGTGTGCCTCCGCTCAACGCTCAATCGAGCTGATGTTGCGAGCCTGAAAGTTGTGCCTTCTAAAGGTACCTTATGAAAGTATGCTCAAGCTAACCAACCGGCACATCATTAGCCAAAGTAGGCTTTTCATAGTTTAATCGAAGGTGTGAGAGCCAGTGGCCTTGAGTTTGACCACAGTCTCGTTCACATGTGAAATGGTGTTTTCACCCTTATTACGACAACGGACGTTTCGTTGGTATTGTAGTTCGCGCGGTCACCAATAGAAACCATCCGAGGCACCGACATAGAACTCATCAGAGACAAGTGAGGGCACTCCCCTCCTCCAATTTTTTCTTTATGCCTTTTCAGGATGCGCTCGCAAATGAGTACCCTATCAAGTTAAGCTATGCCGAAATGGCCCAACAGAATCACATTATCCGGCCACACATACACGGTGGCCCATGCAATCTCCCCTCCTTAGGGTGAGTGAGTTGTGGGCACCGACAAGAAAGCATGATCCTTGCTGCCTTTGCCACCATCTCGCCTTCTGCCAGTTCCATCACAAACAAAGTTCTAGCATAGAATGAAACCAGGCCAACTTACCAGACGTCTCTTCGGCTTGATCAATGGCCGGTTCTGGCCATTCATCTTCTGGTACAGGCCGCAAGCGTTGCACAAGTAGTTGCCCTGTCCATCTCTCCGCCAGAGAGGGGTATTAGTAGCCCCGCAGTTTACGCACTCACGGCCCTCTGGGGAAGACGAAGCATGGAGAAATGGACACGCAGTGACAGGTGGCAGACGACCGAGGATTTTCCGTTGCGCGTGTGTACGGTCGGTACGGGGAATTGTACGCAAGCGGTAATGCATGTACGTACGTACATATGTATGTATGCATGTATGAACGTATGAATGTATAAATGTATGAATGTATGAATGTATGAATGTATGAATGTATGAATGTATGAATGTATGA